AGACCGGGGCAAGATGAAGTTCGGGGCAGCACGGGAAGTAAGCTTGTGTGCGTGAATTGTTTTTGTGTTCTGAGCGGCAACAGCGTCATTTGCACGAACTTCACTCTCCGCCAGTGCGTCCATGCAGAGCGGACAGGTTGGAACTCGTTTTTGCGTTGCAGAGAGAAAAAAGTGATATTGCAAGTTTTTTTACGCGAAATTTGATTCGAAAACTGATGTACAGACATGTGAGTACCTGTGTTAATGTATTATTTCTATCCCGAGCTTATTATAGGAGTCCAAAACATTACATTTAAACCAGATTTTTTCGCCGGTTAAGTTTGAAGTTAGAATTACGTCATCTTTTTTAATTACGTGTGGATCGGGGCAAGATGATCGGGGCATAATGGGATACTATCCCGTTATGCCCCGCTCTTGTGATTAAAATAACATTTTCTATGTAGGTACCTACTGATAATATTTTTGAATTCTACTTAAATCAGGATCAAAAGTATTTACCTATTTATTTATTTGTCTACAGATAAAATGGTTCGCAACTATAAACGAAAAACAGATCGTGGCAAATGGAACGAAGAAGACATGAGAAGAGCAGTAAATGCTGTTCTTACTCATAGAATGGGATTTCTTCTAGCCTCGGCTACTTACGATGTTCCGAAGTCGACCTTAGAACGACGAGTAAGAAAAGCTCGTGAAACTGTTAATGCCGACACTGATTCTGATAACGACTGCGGGAAAAAACATTTGGGACGATTCAAAACAGTTTTCTCAGCCGAGCAAGAAAATGAGCTGGCGGAGTATGTCAAATCTATGGAAGCACGGCTTTTTGGTTTAACAGGAAAAGAGCTACGCATTATAGCTTATCAGTTGGCTCAGCGGAATCATATAGATAACCCATTTAATACAGAAACTGGTATGGCAGGAGAAGATTGGCTCAGCGGGTTTTTAAAACGACACCCTGATCTAGCATACAGACGCCCAGAACCAACATCAGCTGCAAGAGCGATGGCTTTTAACAGAGTGGCAGTCGATAATTTTTTTACATTGTTGGAAAATGTAATAGATAAACATAAACTGACGCCTGAAAGAATTTACAATGTAGACGAAACGGGGATCAGTACTGTTCCAAAAAGTCAATCTAAGATATTGTCAACGAAGGGCCAGAAGCAAGTCGGCTGCCTCTCATCAGCAGAGAGAGGTCAGTTGGTCACTGCTGAAATTTGTTTTAATGCCGTTGGCACCTATGTCCCGCCAATGTTAATATACGCTCGGAAGCGGATGAAAGAAGAACTTCTGGATGATGCTCCATCAGGGTTTTGGGGCACATGCAGTGACAATGGTTGGATTACAACAAAAATATTTTTTGATTGGTTTAAATCATTTGTGCAGTTTGCACAACCAACAAAAAGAAAAGCCTGTATTGCTTCTGTTAGATGGTCACTCTTCACATACCAAAAATATTGACCTGATAGATTATGCAAGAGAAAATAATGTGATTTTACTATGTACACCACCACACTGCACTCACAAATTGCAGCCTTTAGACGTGTCTTTCATGAGACCTTTAAGCACGTACTACAGTGCAGAAGTGAAAAAATGGCTCAGAGATCACCCTGGTCGCGTGGTTACACCATATCAAGTGGCAAAACTTTTTGGACAAGCTTACTTAAAAGCAGCCACAATGTTAACAGCCATAAATGGATTTCGGAAATGTGGTGTATGGCCGCTAGATAAAAATGTATTTACCGATGCTGATTTCATAGCTGCAGAGACGACTAACACAGAAAATCTGGCAAAAGAAAGGCTAAATGTGGAAAATGCTCCATCAACTCAAACACCTGCAATCACTGAAGAAAATCTATCGCGGCCATCCCCTTCAGTTCACCTTGGCCAAATTGATAAAGGGAGTATTCCAGAGCCTCTGATATCCTCAGAAAATGCTGTCCATCCAGTTTTATCTACTGAAAAAGAAGATATTGTTGAACCAGCTACATCTTTTTCCAATAACAATGGTGCCCAGGTCTCGTTCAATTCTCAAATTGACATTTCTAAAGACAAAACTCCCGAAAGGCAAATAAAAAGAAAAACTTCTTTTCTAATAAGTCCTGAAAATATTATGGCCATACCTAAAGAAGTTAGGACTCAGGAGAGAAAGACTAGGAAACGAGGGAAGACTGCAGTACTAACTGAATCACCTTACAAAAACGAACTCATAAAACATATAAGTATTAAAGAAGGTAAAAATAAGAAAAAGACTGATAATCAAGTGACTGAAAAAGGTAAAAAACAAATAAGGAAACCTGGAAAAAAGACTGCAAAGAAGATTAAAAAGACAACAGACAAGGAAAATCTGCAGAAAAAGCGTCAAACCAAAAGGTGCAAAAATGAAACAGGATCGGAAGATAGTTCATCCCAAGAAGAGGATGATGACTGTGCTTGCATCTATTGTGGGTACTTATACTCAGATTCAACGGAAGGTTGGGTCATCTGCGGCGCATGCCACGGTTGGGCGCATAATTCATGTGCCGGAGTAGATGAGGAAGACGAAGAGGCACACATTTGTGAACGCTGTCTACCCGATTAAAAAGCGTACTCGTTTTGCCCCACAGCGTTTCCCATCTTACCCCAGTTATGGGGCAAAACGGGAAATTTGCCGAGTTTATTTTTTCATTATTTATCAAAAAAAGTTCTGTGATTTTGCATGCTACAACGTTTAATTATAAGAGAGAAATGTATAATGGTTATCTCTTTTGTTAATGAATGTTATTAAAGAGTTTAATTTTCATTGTATAACGAGTTTTGTCTTAGCTATC